AAACGAAGTTTCGACATTTTAAAATATGAGTATTGTGACATAAATCATATTTATCATTTTGTATCACATTTTAAATGATTTATGATACTATATATAACAGTTTTAATTGATTAATAATATTTATTGCATCTGAAATCTAAAACATTGTAAAAGTCAGCAAATGAAATAGACATTTATATATCATCTTATTTAATTATACTATATATCATTTTTGTACTTTTTGTTTTCAATGCTGAGTGCAAACTAATTAGAAAAATCTTTTCACTGCTTGTTGAGCATTTTCTTTATCTATCTATTTCTTTTTCTTTGAGATAGTTTCGATATATATATATGTATTGGTGCAGTTATTAAAAAGAAATGTACATAATATTAATAAACAAATATTTATACACATTTTGTATACATATAAATATATATACATAACTATAACCATGAGCAGAATATATGCTGTGCGAAAAACGAAAAAAGAAAAAAGAAAAGAGAAATATTTTGATGGCCTCAGTAGCAACACATTTCCTATATAGATACAGCTATCTGTTCATCTATATATGTATATACACTTTGATGGATGTATATATACAGCTGAAAAAAGCAATAATTAATTTATTTTTGGCGCTCTGGTTAGATCCATTCAACAGTTGAATAAAAGGAACTATAGCGGCATACTATCTAGTTAAAAGAAACAAAAAGGGGGCGGTGGCGGCAGGCCCTGGTTCATTGACCTTTTGCGTGGGGGATTTGCTAATTCCAACCCCCAAAAAGCCGACATCTTTGTGTGCGAATGCAACAAAAGGGTCGCCAGCTTTCAGCTTTTCAGCTTCCCCTGAGAGTCGACCCCCAAAGCTGTGCGCTGGCTCTCTCGCATTTCTTTTGTGTGACAGGTGTGCAAACATCACGTGCAAAAGTTGAGCGGACAGAAAGAAAGAAAAAAAAAACACAGAAATGAAAAGAAACTGTTTACAGGTCGCCAACACATTCTTGTTTTGTTTTTTTTTTTAGCCAACGAGAAATATGCTGAAGGTCGAGCCGTTCAACATTTAAGGCCAGCGCGCAAAAGAACTGGAAAATGATATCATATGTATGAACGGAAGATAACAAACATTAGGAACTCGATTAGATAAGAGACAGCACAAATGTTTAAAGTTAGGGCGTGCTCTCTCACACTATCTTTCTTATTCGCTCTCTCCCTCTCTTTCTCTCTAGTTTCCTCTATATGACTTTAATTCATTCTTGTTTTTATATTTGACTTTCAATTAATTATCAAAGTACACACTTGGTGCAAGTGCATATCTGTATAGTTCCATATCTCTCGCCCTCTCTCCCTCTCTCTCTCTATATATATATACATATATGTGAAATATAATTAATAATGAAACAAAAACAAAAGAAAATCTTGTCATTTCCATTGCCATTTCGCGTCGGCAAGCTTTAAATGCGAAAATATATTTCCCAATTGACGCGTGAGGTCGTTTAACAGTCTGCTGCGGATTTCAGATATCAGATTAACATAATGAATGCACTCGAAATACTCTGCACAAATTGCATATAGATTAAACAATTAGCAGGGAAGGATGATGGCTCTATACTTGTAGAGCCAACACAAGTTAAGA